CAATGGATGCGTTCCACAGAAAGCAGCTCCGCCGTCTATTAGGGATATCTTACCCGGAAATTATCACCAACACAGACCTATATACCCGCTGCAATGCCGAGCCAATATCCGTACTAAGCAGAAGAGCACGGTGGAAACTGTTTGGTCATATTCTACGCCTCCCTGAAGCAACTCCAGCGCAGGTGAGCATGACAGCGTATTTCCAGCGACAGAATCGGGGCTGGCTCGGACGCCCGCGCATCACCCTACCAGTGGTGATAGACAACGAGTTAGCCAAGGCAACGTCCATGCGTCTCCGGAGTCTGAAGGACCTGGAGACACTGCATTTGGTGGCTCGGAACAGGCAATCATTCAACGATATAATCGCACAGGTCACATTGTAGAGTGCAGATCACCTAGTGCTTTCAACAATAATAACGTACTTCCACATTATGGGAATTTGGTATAACCCCACACCCGTCATTGTTGAATATTCGATAATAGCGTGGATTTCCCCAACAATATATTTTCATTTTTTGTTATCCTTTCCCATGCCGTTGTACATAAGCGGCTTGCCGCGGATATGTCAATACTACTACTACTAATCCTGATAATTCGAATATGGCTTAATTCGAAGTTTTTCCAGGAACGATTTCTGTCAATACGATTCCCACATAAAAAATTCTGATAATTCGAACCTCGAACCGGACATGTCCAGTTAATTCGAAGTTCCACGGATTCCACTTACATAGAAAATTTGTGGGATTTGTGCTGATAATTCGAAGTTAGCAAAGTGTAATTCGAAGTTCACTGTACACTGTATTGGTCAGTTCAGTTTGCATGAGCAGGCTGTGCTGGTCAGTTCAGTATCCGTGAAATCTGTGTCTAAGGTCCATAGCGCAACTCTGCATTACCATGAGAGCATTTTGACATACATATTGTGTTGTGGGGTCACGTTTGGATAATTAAAATGTCCGGATAATTAGAAGTTTTTTGCTGGCATTTGGAGGTTCCAATTATCAGGATTCCACCTGTAATAGAGAATATACGGTACTTGAGTATCCACTGGCTGTTGGTAACCACCCAGGAGAATGAAAGAAAAGTCAGGAGGAGTCTGAAAAAGAGAAGAAAGACGTGCGTGACCGTAATCGTCGCGAATCGAGCCCACAACCTCTCAATTGGAAATCGCTGCACATACTACTGCACCAAATGGGACAGGCACACACCTTGTGCCGCCCATCACCAACGGCAATGATAGGCCTATTGAGCCAGGCAGACATTCTGATGACGTTTGAGGTTGCCACTTCTGCGGAGCGACCGTCCGCATGCGCAGCTAAATGACACACGTCCACACACACACACACACACACACACATGCACACATACACACAAAACACACACACACACAAACACACACACACACACATTCACCATTGACCATTGACCATTGGACGCCCATCGCCAGAGACGATGATAGCGATGCTACAGCAGAAGCCATAGCAACTTGTGCTGGGATTGCACCATTCAACAGCTTGCAAGGCTGAAGAATTGACCACCACTATTCAGCCTGGTCTACACCACACAGCTTTGAAGTGGCTTTTTTCTGGCCAGTGAATCCCTACTTTTTGGTCTTTTTTTCCTTCTTTTTTCCCGCACACACATCACACCACATACTCCGGCATGCACTGGCTGTTGGTAACCACCCAGGAGAATGAAAGAAAAGTCAGGAAGAGTCTGAGAAAGAGAAGAAAGACGTGTGTGACCATAATCGTCGGGAATCGAACCCGCAACCTATCGATTGGAAATCGCTGCACATACCACTGCACCATATGGGACACACATTCACACAAACACACACACACACAAACGCACACACACACACACACATACACACACACACACACACACACACATAAACACAAACACACACGCACACACACATACACACATGGACATTCATACACATCCGCGCATGCACACACAATATGCAGTTACAGCTGGTCAGTTGCCCAGGTATCCAGGCAAAAGAGCCGATTGACACCTCATTTGAACGACCGGAGTCTCTTCTTGTTGGGCTGCTCCAGGCGGTGCTGGCAAGGCAGCCAATTCGAAAGGTGTAGGACTCCTTCGGGGAAGGCCAGGCAGACATTGTTGACGGGGACATCAGATTGGAGTTGCTGCCCATTGCACGTTGGCCGATCTCTGGTTCCACCCTGGATGGAGGCAGCATTCGTGTCAGCATTGGTGGGATGGCCGGTAGTGAATATTGTATAAGTAACAGAGGGTAGTGACTATGCAGCGGATTGCAAGGCTTGGCAGATATACACATTCAGTGATCGTGTGCAAGGCTTTGTGTGAACATAGTGGATGGGTCCCTATATTTTTATACTTAACCCTTTCAGCACGCATCACGTATGTGTACGTGATGGTACATGTAATTGGCCCACGGATCACGTATATATATACGTGATGCGTACAGTGAAAATGAACGTACTCCCGAGACATCCGTGGTCGACGGATCTTATCCCTACGTGGACCAGTGACGTGCTGGATGAACGTCGACTGTTCTATGATAGTACTGACGGGCGCACGTGTGCCGCTATGCACGCGTACTAATACATAGATGTCGCGTGCGAACATGCATTCCGCAGAAAAAATTGTGAGTGAATAGGACTACTTTTATTTTGGAAAATCACGAAAATCACTGGTTTTGGCTCCGCGGGTCAGTTACACACCCTGGCCGTGCTGAAAGGGTTAATAAAATTCTTAGTGGTGTGCACGGGTAGTCGGGTACCCGTGCTACCCGTGAGGACCTCGGGTAGTCGGATACCGAATAGTACCCGAAAACCCGGGGTCGCAGATGACATCATGTACAGTACAAATAATTCACGCATGTCTACCCAATGCGCAAGGGAAGGGGCCGGTGTGCATTGTGGTCTTACCATGGAAACATTACCCGATCGGGTACCCGTGCTACTCGTGGAAAACTACCCAGACCCGATACCCGAAGAAAATGCTACCCGACTCAGCCCTAAAAATCCTTACTTTTTGGTCTTTTTAATTTTTTAATTTTTTTCACACACACATCACACCACATACTCCGGCATACACTGGCTGTTGGTAACCACCCAGAAGAATGAAAGAAAAGTCAGGAGGAGTCTGAGAAAGAGAAGAAAGATGTGTGTGACCGTAATCGTCGGGAATCGAACCCGCAACCTATCGATTGGAATCGCTGCACATACCACTGCACCATATGGGACACACACACACACACACACACACACGCACACACCTGTCCTGTCCTGTTGAGCCACTGCCATGAAGGTTACGTGGGCCCCGGAGGGGCAGCTGAGAGAGAGGAGGAGCACACAGCCCTGTGACGATCCAGGTGATGCGGTAAGCGAAATCGGCGGGAGCAGGCGCAAACACACGTGAAACCCTGACGGTCCTGAACGGTCGGACGACTACAAGTCCGCGAGCAGCGATGACGGGCGCGGCCACGTGTAGACGCAAAGCAGCGGTCACAAGCCTGGCAGTGAGCGACGCAGCACAGCGGAGAAGCAGGCAGCGGCAGGGGCGCACCGACTGCTGACTGGGGGTAAGTACACTTGTGCCTTGCCAGACCTCCACGGGACTTCAGCCAACGGCCACACTCTCCACACTGGCATGCACCTTTCTGCTCCGCAACCGGCTTCGCACGCTCAGCCTTACATTTGTGGCGTGCGCGATCACTGGGGCGCGTAAACTGTCGGTCGCAGGTGTAGCAGGTGACGGGGGGGGTATGCTGGGCATCTACCGGTGCTGAGTACGCCGAGCGCCAGGTGGAACGCGACTCGCATTCAGCTCGCCATTCCCCCTCGAGGCCGCGAGAACGAAGGAAGACGCACACACACACACACACACACACACACACACACACACACACACACACACACACACACACACACACACACACACAAACATGCACACACACCAAACACATGCACAACATACTTACTTTTACACACACACATCCATAATCATCCACACTATGTACCATGTACCATGTATACGCCCGTCGCAAGAGAAGCCCGCAAATCTGCAAATGGACTGGATGTGCACCCACAGATTTTCTCTTATAGCAACGATAGCGGACAAGATCAGAATGAGACAGATCAAGACTTCCACGCACACATACACACACGCACACACACACACACACCTCAGACCTCACCTCAGACCTGCCCATCGCAGAAGCAATGATGGCGAACAGCTATGTTTAGACATAGCAACTAGTGCTGGGATTACACAATTCAACAGCTTGCAAGGCTGATGAATTGCCCTCCAACAATTTTAGCCTGGTATCCACCACACAGCTGATTGTAGTGGTTTTTTTTCTGGCCAGTGTATCCCTATTTTTCATTTTTTTTCTTTTTCGACACACCACACCACATACTCCGGCATACACTGGCTTTTGGTAACCACCCAGGAGGATGAAAGAAGAACTAGGAGAATGATAAAGAGAAGAAAGACGTGTGCGACCATAATCGTCGGGAATTGAACCCACAGCCTCTCAATTGGAAATCGACTGCACATACCACTGCACCATACGGGGCACACACACACACACACACACACACGCACACACACACACACACACACACACACACACACACACACACACACACACACACACACACACACACACTTGTTATAGATAAAAGTCCTATATTGTTCATTACTTCTTTCTTGCGACAGTCTCTCCTCCTTTTCTCATCCATGCACTCTCAGCCGACACATGTCAGAAGGGAATTCAATATTATCAGAAACAATACTTTAGGTGTCCGTAACCCCTTTGTTGTTTCAATTTATTGGTGTGTGCAATGGTTACTGAGGGGAGCCATGTGTCGGCTGAGAGGGTATGGAGGAGAAGAGGAGAGATTGTTGCATTATTGAACAGGCGAATGGTACCGTTCACAACTTCATTACTTCTTTCTTGTAACTCATGTACGGGATTTTTCTACAACATGTGTTTCAAACAGGGATAACATGTGGAAATCCTGGTCAACCTGCCAATGGTCAAGCTACAAATACAGGATTTGACTTTGAAAAGACTGTAAGATACACTTGTAACACAGGTTATGAGATGGAGAACATACCAAGTGGTGAACTCATAGTGACATGTAAAGGAACTGGATCATGGTCTCAACCCAGACCTACATGTCAACGTAAGTCTATTATCAAGAGTACAAAACCAAGGGTATACAACTCGATGCCCCCCTCCTCCCCCCCCCCCCCCCCCCCAGCCCACAGCGGAATTTTTATGACTTCAGTGTTTCACGGCCATTAGACTCAATGATGCCACCATGCATCGCAAGATGAAAGGACAAAGAATTTGTACATCGCAGCTATGGTAGTCAAAGGAGAACAAAGGACAGCAGATCCATGTGACCTGAACCTGTTGCAAACCACCAGTTCTCAAGTGGGAAAGGCCTTCGAGCTTATGGCATTGTATTCGTTGCAATGTTGTATTTCGACTCCGCCGTACCGCTGATGTTGCTGCATGACATACGCTATATGCGCTGTGTGCGTTTTGCTGTATACGCTGTTATGTCCCATTTTATATGCGTATGTTTTGCATGTACGCTGTTTTGCATGCTATAAATAGCTGTTGTTATTAGTGTTCATTGTTAATTATTCGATGAAGTGAAATATACTGTGTAAAGGAAAAGAGTTGTCCTCGTGCCATGTGGTCGTACGATCCTGACAATTTAGAGAATCTTAGAGGGTTCACAACAGAACCCAATGAACTGTAATTTGATCTTTTCTTTGGTTGCAGCCCGCCAATGTCCCATTCCAGTAACACCAACATCTGGACAGTATTATGTAGAACGGCTAGGACAGCGTCTCTGGAGAGGTCCTTTCCAATATGGTGACATTGTTAGATGGGTGTGTGATACAGGATTCACAGGGAATACCGATGCTGTATGTCGAGCAGATAGTACATGGAGCAAGAACACACCAACCTGTACACGTACGTATACAACATACTTTTCTTGCTTACTTGAAGTAGGTGTGCAATATGAAACTCAGATGTTTAGTCAATAATGAATTGTGAAAGGAAAGGAACATAATGGATACGAGTTAAGTATTTGTCCACCACTGTAACTACAATTGTGGCCACGGAAATCTGACCCGCGAGTCAAAAGTAGCGCCGCGTTTCCACTTCCATGACATCATGCATGTTCCCAAAACCGATCCGAGGGCCGCAGCGGCCGCATGAGCCTTGGCGCTGTTTTCGGCACGTGGGTTGGATGTCTTTGGTCATGACTGTAGATATTATAAAGTCAGAAAGAACAACAACTACTAGTAGGCACAAAACTGACAGAGTACTGTGACATTTGACGACCTGACACCTAACTCCGACACATCTCCAAAGCGCAAGCCAACAGCCTTGAAGGAAAGCGCAACGAAAATGACTACAAGCTAAAACTGCCAAGCTAACAAAGAATGTTGATTGTTACTGGACGGTGACGAGACCAGTAAGATACTTGACAAAGCGGTCAAACTACAATTCGAAGCAACACACCACCCAACTTGGGGCGGCTCAGAAATATCAAAGATAAGTACAGAAGGGGGAGCTTTGTGAATACGAATTGCACTATACCGCGTTGGTGTCCGCTTATCCTTAAACCTTCTGAGTTGGAAGACTGTTGAGTGTTGGTTAGCGCTTCGGAGATGCAAATGTGGGAGCTAGGTGTCAGGTCGTCGAATGCCTCAGTACTCTGTCAATTTTGTGCCTAGTTGTTGCACTTTCTGACTGTATATATGTTGGACTCAGTAGAGCGTCCAGCCCCTATATGATGTCCAACCCCTATATAGAGTCCATTGGTCCAAAATCCACTGTACAGAGTCCAAACTTGGAATCAACTGTGAGCTCAAAGTTTCGATGGACATCACTCCCTGTATAGAGTCCAGCCAATTGGCTTCACCCCTATATAGAGTCCATTGGTCCAAAATCAACTGTACGGAGTCCAAACTTTGAAATCAACTATAAAGAGTCTATGTGTAAAGTCCAGCCAATTAGGCATCCCCTATCGAGTTCGAAAATAGACATAGGATCTGCTGTAAGCAGTGAATATTAACCAGAAAACGGCCTCTCCCTTTAATCCTTTACATCATTCACTTCTCAAGATAAAAAAATATGTATTGAGGCGCCACTGCAGCCACTTCATTACATGAAAAACCCTACAAACACCATCCTCAAATCAAGTGGTCTCTTCGCAGACGCTGCAAATTACAATATCTCAATCATGTAGTGTTGCCAAATTATTGTGCACGCACACACATGCACACACCCACACAACGCCAAGAAAATACCTAGAAAAAAACCAAGAATCGAAAGGGAATAATGGAGAGCCCAGGATTAATTATTTGTTTTCAAATTATTGTGCGCGCGCGCGCACGCACACACACACACACACACACACACACACACACACACACACACACAAACTTATACAACGCCAAGAAAACACCAAGAAAAGAGTAGAGACACAATACACACGCAACTCCAACAGCCATGCAAACGTCCACCCATTTACATGTAAAGTCAAGAGGGATAACAAATAATTATACGAAACGAATGCGTACGGGGACGGGTACATGCACGTTTACATACACGTAGTAGTGTAAGAGAGTAACATAGTGCAGTGGTCAGCATAATACTAGTACATGCTGAGAGTGCAATAGCAAGCTTCACCATTGCTCATGGCCATGCAAATGTTCAGCAGCACTCAGTTCCGCAAGCTTCTGAAGATCAGCACACCTGCAACAAATAGATAGCACAAGGATACGCTTATTACCGTAATGATGCATGGGAGCACACAACTACCAAGTTCTCAACGAATGTGATGCTCAATGAAAATCAATCCACTCAAAGACCTGTGAACAGGTGATGGTGGGGACAATAATCTACAGTCGTCCCTCTCTAATCCGGCACTTTATAATCCAGCACCCTCGCGATAAACCGGCACAATTTTCAGTAGCCAAATGTCCTCTTCATGCACATTGCAGCAGTAGATCAGATTTGTTAATCCAGCACCCTCCCTAATCCAGCAGATTTTCGTGGCACAAATGGTGCCGGATTATAGAGGGACCACTGTATTAGTAATACGAGGAATAAGATCGTTTGTGCACACTCAAGACGCACAGACACACCAACATACATGTAGTGTACACAGTGTTTCACTTCACTGCAACTAAATTGAAATGAGATGATTTGAACAATCTGTACAGCGTTGCTGTCAGTCTTCCCCAAGATGGAAATGCAATGATTTGTTGTCACGAGGCAGTTTCACTGACACAATGTCATGTTCGTGACATCAAAACGGTTACTTCAGGGAATACGAGTATTAGCTACGAGTATTAGCTTGAGAAGCTTTTTCTTGTCATTGGCATACAAGCAATCCTCCTAGTCCTACTACTACTAGTACACTGGCACTGCGTTTGTGGATCCCATTGTATTTGACATCATACTACAGGAAGAGTGTCGTGGAGTTCACATAATTATCACAGGGATAAAAATACATTTCTCATGAAATAAAATAATAATTGATGATAGCTAGACGATCATAATATACGATTGATGCAAAGTCCTTGCAGTCCTTGAGGACTATTACGAAGTGGTTGATTACTTTTAGGGCATTCATTCAAGCAACATCAAACAAACGCGATACGCTCCTTGAAAATGGAAAAAAATTCAAGCATAACAACAGAACAGCAGACCAATCGAAACGAGTAAAAGCTTCCTTACCTCAGTCATCGTCCTGCCATATAGTTGCACAGCCTTTTGACACGGTGGTACAGGCAGCTCTTGTCCAGTCAAACAGGGGTATCCTTGTGGCGTCGAATGAAAGAGAGTGTCAGTGTATCTGACTCGTCAGATTGCAACTGTGCTGAACTTTTCTCTTTCTCCGCTTTCTGCTTTCATCCCTCGCTCTGATGAAACCGTTCAAACGTCTTACTGGCAGAAATGGCCAGCCAAACAGGGGATCCTTGTGGCGTCGAACGAAAGAGAGCGTCAGTGTACCTGCCTCGTCAGATTTGAACTGTGCTGAACTTTTCTCGTTCTGCAATTTCTGCTTTCATCCCGCGCACTGATGAAACGTCTTCAGAGAACCACAAGACGCTTTCCAGATTTGATTTTGAACGTCTCCTTATCCTCCTTGGTTAGCTCGAGACAGATTACTCTCAGCAACTGCACAGCAGAATTGGCAGCCATGGCTGAAGTGAAGAAAGGAATGCGCTGCCACGAGGCAAGCAAAACTGAAAATGTGTTCTCTTTCGGGCACAACACACAGGACGGCGTGACTGGATAAACTGGACTCCGATCCTGGACCGTGAATAGGGGACTTGTAGAAAAAGTGTACTCCTTATAGGGGATTGCGCGGCAGGATGAAGCTGATCAAAACTGAGTGGACTCCTGGACTCTGTATAGAGGTTATGCGATACACGTCATTGCCACCCCAAATTCTTCTATATAAGGGGTTTCTGTACCCGCTTTGGGCATTTTGCCACCCCAACTGGCTCCTATATATGGTGGATTTGCCGTTATCGCATAACCTCTATAGTGGATTTTGGACCAATGGACTCTATATAGGGTGCTGGACATCATATAGTGCATGGACTCTATACTGAGTCCTACATATAGTATCCAGTTACAGTAGTGGACAGTTACTCTTAACCCATATCCATATGTTCCTTTTCTTTCTCTACTTCAAGTAGCAGCAACATTAACTTAATCATGTTTTAGTTTGTCAAGTTGCCTTTATCCTTGTTCCTCACTGCTAAGAAAGAAAAGAAAACATGATCATGATGATCTATCATAGCCGCTTTTAGCATGTAACAGTTAGAAAAAATTATAATTTTAGAGGCATTGCTGGCCACAATCGAGGCTCCCTTTTTTGATTCCTGGTGGTGGCAGACATTCTTTTCTTCAGACGTTTTCCTTTGTAAAACTCTATCAAACTTTAAAATATAGACATATTATTGGTTGACTCTATTGGTACATGGTCTACAGGTAAAAGCTGTGCTGACCCTGGTGCACCTACCAATGGTAACTACACAGTGACTGGCTTGAAGTACGAGGATACAGTTACGTACACCTGCAGACTTGGCTATGACATGCAGAATCATCCAAATGCTTCTCTTACTGGGGTGTGTATGGCCAATAGGATGTGGTCCCACACAAAGCCCACATGCGAGAGTAAGTGCATTATGTTGCATCAGTAGACTGTAATGTGATAACTGAATAAGAACAAAGTCCGGAAATCCGGGTGATTGTTATTCTGCAGGCAACGGTGGGTTTGCACTTCAAAACGTGACCAGCGAATAAAGCGTGTTCCTAAAAGATATACACTCGGTTGGCTTAACCTTGGCAACATCACTTGCTTATGACGTGTGATCTTTGACTTTGTTTTTGACAGTATGTACACTGTGCATGGTACTATACTACAAGCGTGTTGTCACTGTATCTGCCCTGCACTACCATGCCGCTATGAATGTCTCCATGCTGCATGTTCATGGGACAGCCACTCATTTCTATTACGTAGGCAAGGAATGATTCATCACCATGGCTGGTTCACAGAAAAAGTCAGTGTGCTTAAAACATACTTGGTCCGCGTCAGCGATATTGTCGCTTATCTTTCAGCTTTGTTTATATTTCGCCAAAGCTCACTCGGCAGCCCATTTCATCCCAGTTTTGGTTAGTAAGTTTTTTTACTAGTATCTGAAAGGTCTAGCTACAGTTCGAGTGGATTTCCAGAGCGACGGGTGGGTGATTCTGATTGATACAGCGCCGAATCAAAATAGATCAGCGTATCTTGTTACGCTGTGCAGGCAAGAGCAGCGCAAGCCACAAAGTAAATCGGCTACTCGGAATCAGCTTCATTTTGCTGAACGGCCGAGACCGCTCACCTCAGGGATCGCTCGTCAAGCTGAGATCTCAGCTCCCTTACCTCCAACTCAACGCTCGGAGTATCCAGCGCATCGTGGAGATTTGCAAGTACTGTACGCGTCGTCGTCGTCGTTCAAAATAAATCTTGCAAAGAACGGCGTCTGATTTGAACCACACAGGCTGTCGTACTGCCCACGCGAAGTCCTATAGAGAAGGCGACCGTCACGATCGACTTCTGTTTAGAAAATAGCCAGGCAGCGGAGAGGAAGAGAGATGAGCTTGCAAAAGCAAGAGAGTCGAACCCGAGCCAAAATATTTGTCACCAGCGTCGAGAGCAGCAACGAAGAGGACCGAAAAAAGTAGGAACCCTTCCTTGGACAATAAATTCCTTACAGCTAGTTTTCATTCTATACCTTACCGTCCATCGTACCAAGTTTTATCACTTCAAGTGTACGCGTTCATGTCCAAAGTCTAAGTTCAAATTGTCGAAAGATAAGCGACAATATTGCTGACGCGGACCAAGTATTAACATCCCACTGCACACACAGACATTCAAGACCAGGTTTGAGCTAGATCGGGACTCACAGTGGGTGAAATGATTAGGCTTACACCGCGCTTCCACATGGTAGGACAAATGTGGAAGGGGCAGCTAAAGAGGTTAGGCTTACACCGCACTTCCACATGGTAGGACAAATGTGGAAGGGGCAACTAAGAGGTTAGGCTTACACCGCACTTCCACATGGTAGGACAAATGTGGAAGGGGCAGCTAAAGAGAAAGAGGTTAGGCTTACACCGTGCTTCCACATGGTAGGACAAATGTGGATAGGCTGCTAACACGGTTACGCTTGTAGGACTCAGTATAGAGTCCATGCACTATATGATGTCCAGCACCCTATATAGAGTCCATTGGTCCAAAATCCACTATACAGAGTCCAGGAGTCCATTCAGTTTTGATCAGCTTCATCCTGCCGCGCAATCCCCTATAAGGAGTACACTCTTTCTACAAGTCCCCTATTCACGGTCCAGAGTCCAGTTTATCCAGTCACGCCGTCCTGTGTGTTGTGCCCGAAAGAGAACAAACAACTAACTTTTCAGTTTTGCTTGCCTCGTGGCAGCGCATTCCTTTCTTCACTTCAGCCATGGCTGCCAGTTCTGCTGTGCAGTTGCTGACAGTAATCTGTCTCGAGGTAACCAAGGAGGATAAGGAGACGTTCAAAATCAAATCTGGAAAGCGTCTTGTGGTTCTCTGAAGACGTTTCATCAGTGCGCGGGGATGAAAGCAGAAATTGCAGAACGAGAAAGGTTCAGCACAGTTCAAATCTGACGGATCAGGTACACTGACACTCTCTTTCGTTCGACGCCACAAGGATTCCCTGTTTGGCTGGCCATTGCTGCCAGTAAGGCGTTTGAACGGTTTCATCAGAGCGAGGGATGAAAGCAGAAAGCGGAGAACGAGAAAAGTTCAGCACAGTTGCAATCTGACGAGTCAGATACACTGACACTCTCTTTCGTTCGACCCCACAAGGATACCCTGTTTGACTGGACAAGAGCTGCCTGTACCACCGTGTCAAAAGGCTGTCCAACTACATGGCAGGACGATGACTGAGGTAAGGAAGCTTTTACTCGTTTCGATTGGTCTGCTGTACTGTCGTTATGCTTGAATTTTTTTACATTTTCAAGGATCGTATCGCGTTTGTTTGATGTTGCTTCAATGAATGCCCTAAAAGTAATCAACCACTTCGTAATAGTCCTCAAGGGCTGCAAGGACTTTGCATCAATTGTATACGATCGTCTAGCTATCATCAATTATTATTTTTATTTCATGAGAAATGTATTTTTATCCCTGTGATAATTATGTGAACTCCACGACACTCTTCCTCTACTAGGATCTAGTATGATGTCAAATACAATGGGATCCACAAACGCAGTGCCAGTGTGCTAGTAGTAGTAGGAGGATTTCTTGTATGCCGATGACAAGAAAAAGCTTCTCAAGCTAATACATGTACTCGTATTCCATGAAGTAACCGTTTTGATGTCACAAACATGACATTGTGTCAGTGAAACTGCCTCGTGACAATAAATCATTGCATTTCCATCTTGGGGAAGACTGACTGACAGCAACGCTGTACAGATTGTTCAAATCATCTCAGTTCAATTTAGTTGCAGTGAAGTGAAACACTGTGTACACTACATGTATGGTGGTGTGTCTGTGCGTCTTGAGTGTGCACAAACGATCTTATTCCTCGTATTACTAATAGATTATTGTCCCCACCGTCACCTGTTCACAGGTCTTTGAGTGGATGGATTTTCATTGAGCATCACATTCGTTGAGAACTTGGTAGTTGTGTGCTCCCATGCATCCTTACGGTAATAAGCGTATCCTTGTGCTATCTATTTGTTGCAGGTGTGCTGATCTTCAGAAGCTTGTGGAACTGAGTGCTGCTGAACATTTGCATGGCCATGAGCAATGGTGAAGCTTGCTATTGCACTCTCAGCATGTGCTAGTATTATGCTGACTACTGCACTATGTTACTCTCTTAGTCTTCCACTACTACATGTATGTAAACGTGCGTGCACCCGTCCACGTATGCATTTGTTTCGTATAATTATTTGTTATCCCTCTTGACTTTACGTGTAAATGGGTGGACGTTTGCATGGCTGTTGGAGTTGCGTGTGTATTGTGTCTCTACTCTTTTCTTGGTGTTTTCTTGGCATTGTATAAGTTTGTGTGTGTGTGTGTGTGTGTGCGCGCGCACAACAATTTGAAAACAAATAATTAATCCTTGGCTCTCCATTATTCTCTTTCGATTCTTGGTTTTTTTCTAGGTATTTTCTTGGCGTTGTCTGGGTGTGTGCATGTGTCTGTGTGCGTGCACAATAATTTGGCGACAATACATGATTGAGATATTGTAATTTGCAGCATCTACAAAGAGACCACTTGATTTGAGGATGGTGTTTGTAGGGTTTTTCATGTAATGAAGTGGCTGCAGTGGCGCCTCAATACTTATTTTTTTATCTTGAGAAGTGAATGATTAAAAGGATTAAAGGGAGAGGCCGTTTTCTGGTTAATATTCACTGCTTACAGCAGATCCTATGTCTAATTTCGAACTCTGGATAGGGGATGCCTAATTGGCTGGACTTTATACAGGGAGTGTTGTCCACATAAAGACTCCTTATAGTTGATTTCAAAGTTTGGACTCCATACAGTTGATTTTGGACCAATGGACTCTATATAGGGGTGAAGCCAATTGGCTGGACTCTATACAGGGAGTGATGTCCATCTAGACTTTGAGCTCACAGTTGATTCCAAGTTTGGACTCTGTACAGTGGATTTTGGACCAATGGACTCTATATAGGGGTTGGACATCATATAGGGGCTGGACGCTCTACTGAGTCCAACACGCTTACACCCTGACAACCGCATGGTAGGACGAATGCGGCGGGGCTGGTGACCTGGAGTTAACTGACCAGCTCAAAGACTTATGGAGTGCTTTGCAGGCCACCTAACAAATACCACCCAAAAATAAGACCGCCTATGGCGGCTTGAGCCCTGAACTAGCTGTTCAAACCGAGAGCGGAGCCATGCTTAGTGGGTTGCAATCAAGATGTGAGAGAGCAGCTGGAATAGGCTTAACGTTATACCCAGTCAGCTACATAGCTAACATATGCCCGCTAAAGGTAAGACTGTCAGAAACGTTGCGAGCCCTAGTTTAGCTACCTCTATACGCCAGGCACAGCAGCACGATCAGGGAATGCTAACGAGATACGTAGAGTGCAAGGGGAGCAGAGCAGCCACTCTTACAGAGGCCGTACGACAGTGTTCAACTAGTCTGATCTCACCCGTGCTTTGGTGATTATTTCCATGAGCCAACTATGCCTTGCGCTTCGGTGGCTATGGGGATGGTTGCCGCATCCCCCTTGCTTGCGAATCCAACTCCATGCCCAAAAATGTGATGACGGGCAGATCATGGTAGCGCCGTCCGTTGACCTGCAAGCCGTTTCCCGGCAGTCGGTTGCAGTTGCGTACTGGATGGATCTGGAGATGTTGGATCACGGTGGTAGATTAAGTTCAATACGCAGAAGGTACCGTCGCTGGTGCAATCTGTGTGGCCGTAGGTGCAACGGCCCGGATCTTCCTCTTCTAGCACGACCACCACCACGCCGTGTATGCACCACGGGAATGTGAAGCCAGCTAATGACGCTTTAGACACATGTGAGGTCGCGTTCTTGGATCAGATGAAGCTGGACAAGTGCGTACACCTCTCTGGACTCGCTGGGTGTGATGTCGAGCTGGTGTATCTCCAGCTACA